ACACACGCAAGATCCCAATGGATCCGATGGCCTTCTAGAAACAAGTAGTCGGCTAGTCGTTTACAACTTTCAAGCGTAGGCACACGTAGATGGGCTCTCAGAAATGGATGCAGGGCAGGATCTCGTGCTCTCCCGAATAACATCAATGCCATCCCAACTTTGCCAGATTTCTGCTTTGTTCCTGCCACACTCTAGACTTGGAGGGTCTCTCCTTTAACCGGGAGCGTCTGAGAATGCGATTGAGCCGGGAGGTGAAACTCGAGCAAGGGAGCCCATCATCCCAGGGTTGTGGTAAGGCTTCGTCGACAGTCTGCAAGATGAAGTAATCTGAGATGGAAGCATCGCACGTCGAAGGCACGTCGGAAAAGGCCATGGCCCTCAGAGCCGTTCGAATGAGAGACAAACACCGCAGCAAAGCAAGAACATCAGCAGCATTCTTCAGCAACGGGCTCAAACAAGCGAATTTGCTTGGCCTGACTTCGGGCAATGTAAAGCTCCAGCACTGGTGGTCTGTCCATCTACTTGCACTACCTCGGCTCTGAGCTGTCGAGACAGAAGAGCCTTTCGCTGCTGCGTGGTGACTTCTTGACACCTCCAGATGCAAAAAAACAATGGTCGTATCAACATTCAGCACGGGCTAGCTGAACAGCATTTGCCCGGGCAAAGCCTGTGGGACTATGCATTCTTTGCCGGCTGCTCGGAATGCGACCTTCGGTCTTGGCACGTGCCAGACTTTCGCTCTGAAGCGAGGCTCCCGCCCGCATCCAGTAGTCCCAACCTGCAAGGCCACGTGTTTTTCACAGCGTTCTCTGCATGCGCGAAGGTTTAAAAAAGCGGAAGCCGACATAAGCTGCCGGCCCATGGTCGGTGCGATGGGCCAGGCCTGCCGAAAGGCGAAAGGTCACATCATTATCGTGCTGCGTCTGCGCTCTTCTGCACCTTTCGGACTTCCAGCCATGCTCGCCGCAGCAACATGAAGCCCAAGCCTTCTCTATGGGAGGAGTCTCGAGTTGTCTTTTAACAATCTGCGGAACCGAAGTGCAATCCGCCTGGAAAATAGGAGGTGCGCTGCAGGCTGCAGGCATCGAGTGCAGTGCCCTGCAATTGCTGCTCTGGCATTGATTTGGATGCTGATTGTCTTCCAGTTTCGAGCGGTGCGAGCAGTGTCAAGTAGCAACAACTCAGGACCGCAGTCCTTGAAGCCGAAATCGTTCCAAGCGCCGATGCACCAGAGACTTGGGTCCTGTCAATAGGACCGGGACAACCCCCTCAAACCCCAAAACACTAAAAGCCCGAAGCCGAAACACACCCAAACCCAACCACCCCAAAACCTTGGATGAGCACGAACCATGAGCCCAATGACGCCTCATCCAAGAGGCCAGCTGTGCCTCGGATTTGATTTAGTTGAAAAAGGACTACAATAAGACCAATAAGGGTTGCCATGGGGTTTGCTATGAGGGCATATGAGGGCCACGTTTAGGACTGCACTCCTGGACTTAGTACCGGAGGCCCCCTTCACTGTATGCTTGTAACCAGGATTCTGCGGAACAGCGCGAAGAAGTCCGGGGAGAAAAGCAAGTCTTCTTCAACCTCTCATTGTCCATCACAAGGAGCTGTACTGCCAACTGTTCAACGAAAGCTCAGAGTTTTACGAAGATCACGTGCTCGTGCGCTTTCTCCATGAAGGACCTGGGAATTGCATGCAAACGTCTTCGCAAGTCTTGGCAGATGGAGGGGATGTCTGTAGGTATCTGGCTTCTCAAACACAGCCCAGTAGTGGTGGGCAATCTTTCCAGTGTTCGTCTTCATCCACTTCTCTGTCTCCTCTGCTTCAGCACTCGAGAGCGTGAAAACTCTGTCGGGTTTTGGCGACCCATTTCCTCGTTGAGAACCGTTGTAGCATCAAATCTCCGAGGCCCGGTCTGCATGAGAGCTGCATGACCGGATCCACACAGAAAATGCACATGTTTGAGGGTGGCGACCGGCCTGCCACACCTCGATGTTGATACCTTTGCCAGCTGCGACCTCCATGCCGACTTGCAGTGCTTACTACTAGTGGTATTACTATGGTCTGACTCAAAACTCAAACAGCTTGTGACGTTCCTTGTCATGCCTGCTTGGCAGCAGCAGTCATGGATGTCCAGGCTGCTGGATCATCCAGGGAAATATACACAGTGAACAAGGCCACCTGAGATGCGGCTCAACTGCGACCCATCTACTGTTCATCTCTACTCCGACGCTGACATACTTCGGGTGCGCTGCCTCTGGTATCGCAAATAGTGATTCAAGACATCTCCTCGCCGATGCATGTTGGTTTCGCCGCCGTGCCAATCCCATCAAGTGAACTGCTTCCACAAGAACTTCTTGTCAGAAGAGCACCTGAAATCTCCTTCCCGGTTGTGCGCGAGGATGACCTGCTCCGATACATGTGCGGGCAGACTTGCCACTACTTGTGCACAAGAGGTTGCTCTAACTTACAACTTCTCTTTTTCGGTCGTCCAGCCACTGCTACGATGGCCAGTCATGGCAAGTTGATTCATGGCAGAGTTGGGTTGGTTGGGCTGTTCTGACTAACTGCGTGTCTGAGCTTTTAACTCAGCCCCTCGCGATGGCCGCACCCTTCAGGTCTTTGCTGAAAGGATTGGCCGGGAACCTTGTAGGTCGCGCCTCACAGATTCAACGAGCGTCGGCAAACCGGCAATCAAGCGGTGTCACTTTCTATTCAGCAGCCTCGTCGCAAGTTGAACCATACGTGCAGTTCTTCAAAAACCTGAGTTCCGATGCTTGAAGACTGGCAGCTAGCTCTACACGAGCATACATGCTGCACAGTGAAGACATCGAGCTTATCATCTTAGCTGCTCTCCAATGCCCAGATTAATTACATCTTCTTCCTGTTTGTTTTTTTACCTTGCTATTATAGTATATTCTACTATATTCTATATGTATTATATTGTATTATATTATCATATAGTATTATATATATATATATATATATATTCATTCTAGTTGCAAGGCCGGCCCGAGGCTACCACGTCACCTCGTCGCTGGGAGACGACTTTGGCTGTGATGACGACCTGCGCGGCGTGGGCTCTGCGCGCTTTGGGCCGGGCTGAAAGCGCCCTGGGCCTCGCTGTGCACTGCTTTGCCTCTTCAGGCCCAGAAGAAGACCAGCTATAGAAGCCGCAAAGCTGTCTGAAACCGTTCTGAACTTCTGTCTTCGTCGGCACAGCAACAAGTTGTTCTCTCCAAGAGTGCAGTTGCCTCTTCGAGGTGGGTGCCAGGCTTGTCGCAGGTGATTCCGCCACAGGATGTACCTAACATTGGTGTCGTCACGACACTGCCGGCATTGCACAGGGTCTTCGTCCTGTGGCTGATTTCAGAAACCTGCCGGGCATACCGATATTGATGCAAATCTCTTTGGCATCAGACAACCTGTTGTCACAGCATGGCATAGGTGTGCAAGATGGCACTGACACTAACAAGCTGAAGCACGCTTTTGGTTGTCCGTCGTCAGCAGTCTCAGACAGGAATGACTTGGAAACTTCTTTCCAGGTGCAGCCTCGATCAGACATCCCGCTCGCCGGGCAGCAGTGCATCGTCTTTTTGTGCTCAGTTTGGAACGAACGTCAAGGTCAAGGTTGGTGGTGAGCCTAGCCGCATGGATCAGCGGAAAGCTGGTAACTCTGCAGTGGGAAGAGCTCTAGCAGACAAGGCTGTTGCAGGGGGCTTTCCTTCCTTGCGCCACAGATGGGACCTGAACATGTCTTCGTGTGTTGGCCACTACGGACTCACTGTACGTCTTTCTTCTTGGATGCAGGCATGTGGATGTCATTATCAGTGGGTGTTCGTGTGGCGGCAGAGTCGGTGGCTCTGTCGCCTCGTGCTCGGGATGTGAACTGCCGGCCAAATAGCTGCAAGTCCAGCCCGCCTGTTTCTGCGGGGGTGGTTTCTGTGGAGATGTCGGTGGAGGTTTTGGCATAGCTGCAGGTTGTGGCCTTACTGCCGTCGCACGAACATCAGAAGCAAGAGTTCGGCAACGAGGGCACCACGGTTCAGGTTTAGATGGCACAGTCGTAGTCTCTGCCTGCATCAACAAACACCAGATGATGCTAAACCCAGCAGATCTCAAGTGCAACTTCTCGTGCCTCTGTCCTTGTGACGGGAATGGGTTCAGCCTTTCTGAGACTTTTCCCAGGCGCTTTTGATGCAAAGTCCTTGCTTGCGAACCATGCTCTGCTCACAGGACCATATCTTATGTATGTTGTTATAAGTTGATACGTGTCAGTATGTTTTGCTTTGTATTGCTTACTATATTTAGTACTGTTGTTCTTATCACTATGCAACAAGACATAGACTTACTATACATCCCATCACCATCTTTATATACTACTGCAATGTGACTACACTTCGTTCCATACCCAGTTATATGATTGCAACTTATTCTGTCTCGGAAGTTGTTAATGTACGCTGCCAGATGATACTCTTTCACCTTGTCATGCACAGTTACATATGCTTCTGCATGATGATACACTTCGTAGCATTATGTAATACTACGAAATATTGTGATACATTTTGATAAATTATGACTTATTGGTCGTATGTCTCATCACACGGTGATATATGAGATTATATGTTACTGTATGATGTCATATATTGTATGAGATTCTTTGTGTGAATTTATATGATATTACATGTTGTTGGATGTTCTTACAAACTCTTATATACTAATTATATACTGTTGTGCACTGCAGCTATATGTCATTATAGATTGGTATCGTACCAGGCATACACCATGATATTTACCATTCGGGTAGTTCTCTAAATTAGGGTCCCTTTGTAGGGTCCCTTTTGTAAGGGTGCCGTACTATATCTGGGACCTATAAAAGGGACCCTACTTTAGGGCACTACCGTTCTAGCACCCTTATGGAAGCCCCTACAGATCCCTTTAAGGAACCCTAAGCCGGGATCCTAACTTAGAAAGCTACCCCATTTTGTGTTATCCTATCTTCATTCATTCAGGCAGCTCTGGTCTCTGAGGCCGCGGCCGAAAGGTCACCAAATGGTGGCTCTGCTTTTGCTTTCTCATATCCTCCGGAACTCAGTGGCTCGAGGGGTTTAGGATGGCTTAGGGCTTTAGGAGTTAGGGTTCAGAGCTTCGGGGTTTCGGGCCCACATAGGCAGAAAGGGCGATGCTGACTTGCGTTGGGGCCTGTTGTCGCTAGGGTCAGTCCTGGGGGCACTTCATAAAGCTTGGAGAGGTCCAGTTCTGCTTCCTTTGACGGCAATCGGTCGCTGTAGCAGCAAGCACCAACGAGCTGCATGCCGCCTGGTACGAAGCTTCTTCAGCTTCCCGAAGTTGCTTCAGGTAGCCTTGGCATCTCTCTGAAACGACTGAATTCTCGCAGGATTCCGTGAGCACTCGCAGTCGCCACATGCCAGGGGTCGCACGGAAGCTGACAAAGCACACAGCTAGGTTCGCCTAAGCACAGCAGGTCATTGGGCTGCGTGGTCCGCTTCAGGTTCTTCCTTCGAACAACGATCACTATTCAATGACACAGTCGTTAAGCTGGATGTTTTCATGTCATACAGCCCGTACGTTTAGATTCCTCGTCTTGTGTTTACAGTGAGTCATGATTCCTTCCTCGACAGACATAGATTTTGACCTTTCCAGGGTGGAGGTTCGCTCTAAGCGTGCCGTCGCCGTCTTGGATAGTATATCTTGTATCACATATATATATAGATGTATATCTATCTCATTGCAGCGAGGTCCCGGAGGGTGCACCACTCAGGCCCAAACAGCACTTGGCAAGCGGCGCATCCCGAAAGCTCTCGGTGCCAAGCAAGAACCAACGAAATCAATGCCGATCGCTGGCAGCTCGAAGGTCCAGCCTGTGTACAGCATGCAGGGTTTTGAATGCAGATACGACGGTTCCAGGTCATCAGCAGGCACGAAGAATCCCGCAGCAAAGTAGTCAACGTCGATCCGGACAGGCGGGAATGTCTCTGACTTCAAGTTCTCAGCGACAGGCATGAGCAGCTTTGGCTGCACCTCTATGAGCCTTCCTGTCGCAGACGGGAATGCAATGCGCTGTGTGCATATACCCCAAAATAGGCTCACGATTCCAAACGTGTAGCACTGCCAGAATTCTTTGAGGAAAAGGGCCTAAATCGGAGAGCCTAATGTGAGCTAATCTTCTACAGAGCCATGCTGGCCTCCAGCTGCGGCGACATTTCCTCTGTGCGCATTTGACTGAACACTAAAAACATGTCCTACAGAATAACTAGCGGCAGGAAGCATCTTCTACCTGGAGTTCTTGATCGGTTGTTAGCTACAGCTACAGTCGGCCATTGCATCTGCGTAGCCTCACTAAGAGCTCCTGCAGGGAATAGTCGTGGACCGATTGCATTGCATATCCTCTCACGTGGGCTGAGTGCGCTGCCAAAGAGTCCACATCTCGGCAAAGCCATGGTGCTTTCGTGGTGGCTTTCTGATCTGCTGTCCAGACAACCAGTGCTCAGTGCTACTCAAGTAGTGGAGTTGTGTGGATGCTGGTAACTGGCAAACGGCCAGATCGATGTGGGAGTGTTTCCTGTCGTGTGAGCAGTGAAGCTCTGAGCCGGAAGTGACAGACGTTGCTTTGAGGAACCTTGGATGCAGCAAGTGCCCTTAGTGCATGGATGATAGCGAAATGCAGCAGGACTGGACTGACAAGCTTCTTCCGCGCATAGCGCATACCTGTAAGGTGAAACAACATGGGGCCAAATGCAGCTTTGCTATTTGCTTCTGGAGATTTGTGGCTCTTGCCCGCATCTTTGCTGGAATGCATCTGTTACAAAACGGAAGTCTGTCACCCTCGGACGTATCAAGGGTTCCCATTGCGTCGTCACAGTCGTAGCACTGCAGGAGGACAGCCAAGGGTGACAGCCCCGGTCAGCTGCCAATCATGGAGAGCTGCAGCCTCAAATGCAGAGGGTGCGCTACTGCAAATGCGTCAACTTCAGCCTCTGCTGCTGAAACTGCCATGCTTTGGATTTTGCAGTGGCATGTCTTCTGGTCGTCTCATCGGATCGCACGAGGCCCCTACACCCCTTCGCGTGCATCAAGATACTTCACGCGAACCTGTGCGCAAGGGTGTTGCGGTTAAATCACGCGCTGGAGTATGTCACTCGGAGCAGATTACTCGCGAAGATTGGCAGAAGAAGCACCTGCCTGCACTTCTTCATCCACGGCAAGCTCTTCCTTCGTACGATGTGAGGCTTCTTGCCATGATGCCTTAAGGCATGCGCCCCTCCGAAGTCTCCTCGAGATTTTTGATGAAACCGTCCCGGACGTCGTTCACATGGACCAGACCTCCAGGTCAGTGTTTGTCAGCAAGATGAACAGCTAGATTGCTGGATCCACTTAAGACTTGAGCCTTGTGCTGGTTCCCCCCCAGTCGGAGGCTCGACTCTAACGAAGGCCCCAAAATTCAAAATCTTCGTGACGGTCCCTGGCATGCTTCAGTTTCTGCCAAGAGCCATTGCAAGCAGAATTCCAAGAGAACTCTGCGGGGTGCGGACCCCTCAGCCAGAGATCCGCGGAGAGGTCCGTGAAGCCCGACAGGTCGACCATCCTGGGGCAAAGCCCACAAAAAGGGGGACCATCGCTGCGATTCCGATGCCCAGTGCCCAGCCAGCACTCTGAAGCTCGGACGGTTTTGGGCCCTGGCCACCGATTTTCTCCTTCACCAAGGCCTTACAATGCATAGGGCCATCGTTCCGGAAGGTCGAGTCTTAAACGATCTTTACCAAGCTTGTGGCTAGCCACAGCTTCTGCTGGCCATCCTGCTGATTGCTCGAGCAGTATATGGTCAAGTATCTAGAAGATGCTCCGTTTCATGACTGCCTTGTCTGTTTTCACAGACTCAACGTACACCGTGACCTCGCAGATGTGCTGCAAGCAAGCCCCTGCTGCACCGGCTTCCCTGTGGTTCTGACTGATCGCAGTGTCACGGTGTCACTGATTCTGTTCTGCAGACCGCCGCCTTTTTGGAATTCTCGGCCACCGGGCGCATGTTGTTTGCACATAGCATGCAACAGCCGAGAACACCGCTGGACTTTGCAGCTGTGCAAGGGGATCTACTAACAATGTACCTACACTGGGCCTATGTCCTGAAAGCCTGGGATTCAAAGCACTGTCCGCTTCTGCGCAGTGGAGGTTGGCCACGCACTCGATGTCTTGATGCTGGCCTGCTTCTGCCTGTGAAAAGCAATCGAACAAAACTGCACTCTACACGCAAGCATCTTCCTGCAGAGTGATGTGACGACTAGGCTGGCTGAAAGAGGCCTAGCTTTTGGCAGAAAGCAGTGCCAGCTTCTGTGACAAGCCTCATGCGCACACGCGCACACACACACACAGAGAACGAATTCCGGGATCTTGGATGTCAACGTGCAAATTGCCGAAAGTGTGCCTTGAAACCAGTGCGCGCGAGTGTGGCATTGGAGGCAACGCCTGGGAAGTCATCACACTGCAGGGCGACGTACACCGAATGTGCTAGCCAGCCCTGGAACGCCAAGAAGATGGCCAGGAAGCATCGTATTCATAGTCATGCATTGAACATCATTGAGTCGTTGAACACACTGCCAGAACGCCATGAAGCGAAGGGCTTGCATCCCATGGATCCAGTTGCCAACACGTGGAAAAAGTGCGACAAACTGACAAGAATTGACAAACTGACAAAATGGCAACCCGTGGCACCTCAGAATTTCCTCTGCAGAAGTCTCGAAAGCGCGCACTTCGCTTCCAACGTTGGCCCTGGCTCCGTGACAATGACTGCGGTATCTGTATTGGTGTCGTCACGGTCCGCTGGTACGTGCAGTGTTCAACCGACGCTTTGCTCTTGTCAGGCCCCGAAGCAACTACACGGAGCTGCAACAGAATCGCAAGCAGCTGTGTGATAGCCCCAGCCTCCCGAAGGAGATCGCCCACAAATCCGCGCAGGGGACCACCGGCGCTCCCGCCAAGCCATGGGACCTGGCCAGCCTGGGGAAGGCACGCTACGAAGAGGTGAGCTGTCGACGTGAACTTGGGAGTTGCTACGATCCTCTAGAGATGCATCCAGTATCATCCAGTCGTGAGCAGGTGGGGTTTTGAAGTTGTGCTTGTGGGCCGCCTTCTTGGGTGGGGAAAGGTGCGAAGCAAGCATCGTGCTCCCCTTTCTCCGTTCAACACTCTCCCTATTCCTGGATGGTGGCGTGCCTGCACCTCTTGTAGCAAGGACCGCGAGTTCACCCAGATGAGCTCCTCCACTTCCAAGTGTGATGCAGGTTGTGCCAGGACGGCCAAGGAAGCCGCCCAAGCTAAGGCGTGGCGGCGTCGCTTCCTAAAGCTGCCAACAACTGCACCTTTCTGCATCGGAGACAGGTGACCCAAGCTCACCATTCGCAGAACTGCAGGCCGTGGCCGCCGTGCTGTGTCGGATTGCCAGGGCCAGAAGGACACGGGACAGGAGGTCTCTGAAGACTCCAAGCTGGCTAAGAGCCTGGGTTCTTGTTAATTAAGGAACTTAATTTAAGTTACCATAATAGGGATCTATAGTAAAAATAACCCGGTTTCCCTCTTACCATAATAGGGATCTATTGTTTTAATAACCCGGTTTCCCTCTTATAGTAACTTCATTGAAAACCCCTGAACAAGAACCCAGCAGCTGATCTTGGCTTCCCAAAATCTCGAGGCCCTCTTCGGCTGCCTCCCGAGCCATGGCAAAGGTGAGGTTTGGGTCCTCTGCTTCGACGAATCCCCACAGTGGGCCTACTTGCCGGGTGGGCCACCAAGGCCTGCTCTCCACGGCAAGGAGGAACTCCACACCTTTAGCCGTCTCTGCAGCCACCAGCACCCCAGAGGCCAGGTTCGCATCTTCTCCCCACCAGTTTGGGACTCGCCGGACTTTGCCGAGCGTTTGACCTTGCAATCGAACTACCCCAGCACTCCTGTCGACTTCGACACTGCCGAGTGCTGGCCAGTGGACAACGGCGATGTCGTCTTTTCCAAGGGATACGGAGAGCTGCAAACTCGTCTCTGGAGGCATCCACTGCCATCGGTTCTCCGAGACTGGTTGCCACTGCCACCTACTGGGTCGTGACGACATGTGGACTTGATGCTTCTCGGCTGACAGCGGCAGAATGCTCGCTCCTGTCTGCAGCGCTGCCCGGTGCGTCAAAACCGAGTCTACGAGCCTTGCTGCCATACTCCAGCTCTGCGAGGCGAATTAGCTCCATCTTCGACTTGTCGGCCCTGGGCCGGCCCACAAAGAAGCGGCAAATAGGCACTCGGGCAGCCTGAGGTCTTTGCGTGTACTCGCAATCGTCCTCCTCCCATACTATGTCGAAAGTACCATCGCCGTTGTCCTTGTCTGTGCCAAAACTCGACTGTCTTTGTCTCTGCTTTTCTTCGTGATTTTGGGACTTGGAAGTTTCGCCTTCTGGACTGTCGCTGCGTAGTACTCCTCATCCTCATCATAGAGTGCCTATGCGGCCAACATTCACGGAAACGCGCAGAAGGGCAGACGGGCCATTACTACGGAGCAAAAACCCCTGACCAGGCCTTGACCTTGTCTCCCCGCTTGAAACTTGGCTCTTCACCCTTGAAGGTGAACCAAGGCTTCAGCAAACCTCTGCATGACACATGGAAGAGTTGTCGCAAGAGGCTGTCACGAAAATTGCTACACTTCAAGCTCAGGATCTGTCCGTCTCGCTCAGCGCCGATGTCAACAAACGTTCCGAAACCAAATGTCCTCGTTTGGTCCATCATGAGGCCAAACCGACGTGTTCAGTGCTCGAGCTCATATCCTGTCCTTGTCACTGTGCCTGTGAGCTTCTGGCGAGGCCTCGCCAGCAAAAAGCAGAAGATGGCAAGCTCAGCAGCCCTCCGGGGGGGTTGCCCTCGGAAGGCAGGCCTGGGCCCACACCTCAAGTCTGACAGCGGAGTGGGCAGCATTGATGGCTTTATGTCCTTCTCCCTTGGAGGAAAGGGCTGCCAGCGAAGATGAAACTCCCAGTTGATCAGATGAGACTTACAAAGTGCACGGCGCAAGCTCGTATTCCTCACCTTACACAAGCTGAGCCAACACAGATTGCTCTCGCACATTGATAAGTTTCCAACTCCGCCGGCGAAATTGAAAGGCTGTAGCTGAGTTCGCGGCCATCTTCGTCCCAAATGACAGTGTAGGAGCCAGAATCATTGACACACTTAATGCGAGCCTTAGCTCGTGCACGTATGTGATGCAGGTTCCTCCGACCCCTCGAAGCAATGCTTGGAGGTTTGCGGCATACCACCTGTCTTCGTCATGGAACAAGCCTTCAACTTTGTCGCCGGCCTTATCAGGACTTGCGGTCGATCGCACTCGGCACCGCAAACTCCGGTCCCATCTCAGCACTGTGCTGAGAAGCGAAAAGGCTCGTCCCTGCGCTTGAGAAGCCTTCGCGAGGAGCAGAGACTCAGTTAGAGGCTGTCTGACAAAGCAAAGCCCGCCACCACGCCTCATGTTGCTAGCATCCTGAATGTGCTCGTAGCCATCCTGTTGGAACAACGAGTACCGAGTGCTGCAAGGTGCACCATGCCATTCTTATGGCTTTGCACCTCCGTCCATGTGATTAAGTAGGACTCATCGCCGTTGTGGCACTGGACAAGAGCCTGACAGTTCTGCTGATCCCTGAGCAGCGTCGTCTCGATGACTGCCTCGCACTCTTTCTGTTCTTCCTCATACAAGGCCATAACCTTAATGGCATGTGGCAGTGCTTGCTGGCGACATCTCTGCATCGCAACTGTGTCGCCGGCCCTGTCTCCCACCAGAAACTTGGAGCCAGCTGTGCTGTGGCTGGCCTCTACGAGGCAAAATGCCGGTCGAGGGCAAATGCCTCACCTTCAAGGTTGTAAAGGAGCAACTCAGCCCAGATCCTGCGAAGCAGCTTTGGCTTCTAAGCGAGCCTCGTGCAGGTGTCATGTGGAGAATGGTGAACAAGCATGAAGCCCTATCTAGTCTGCCTCTGCCTTTATCATTAAATACGGTCCTACGCGACTGAGTGCCTTACCACCAGGTCGGCTTTGCGCCCTGACTTTGGCAAGTCCAGCTCCGCGCATTTTGCCTTAAGCTGAGCAACCGTCAGCTTGGCATAGCCTGTGGCGCATCATGGAGCATCCCTAAACCCTAAACCTCTAAACCCCTAAGCCATAGGTATCCTTGGAGAAAACGATAGCCGTGCCTGCAGCTGCAGCAGCAGGCTGTCCTTCGGCCTTTGTGGGCAGGGGATGCCAAGATATCTAAGTTTGTACGAATGCTTGCATGCATGAATATATGCATACAGCGTCTATGTACATGTGTGTGTGTATAGACATATATATATATGTACTTGTACGCGCACACACACACACACGCACGTGCAAAACGTGTTGGTCTGATCTTAGTGTAGACAGTATGTAGTATGTAGCAGGTAGTGGAATACACGGCAGCAGTAGGAGGAGGAGATGGTCGGCCTTGGCCTTGCAGTGCCAATCACCATAACAAAGATATTGGTAGTTGTGTTACACATGACTTCAAAGACTAGTTTTGAGACGTCACCTTAGAACCGCTCCGCTCCATGTGCCGAGCAGAGGGCCCCTTCTAGCCGTTGGACCAATTCCTGCTTGAGGCCTGCCGTGGACAGACCTTGACCACGACACTTGCAAGGCCGATGTGCCGATATTGCAAAACATCAAGGGTCCCGCCCTTTTCTCTCAGCTTTTCCTGACATTGATGCACATTTGGGCAGAAGTGCACGAAACTGCTTGTCCCGCTTCTTCTTCCTCTTCACAAACCACGCTCATGGGAGTAGTGGACAAGCCCCCAACCCTCTGTGTGTGCGCGGTCTTCCTGGCGGCTGTGAGACTGATTGATCCCCGTCGGCAGGTGCAGTTCAAAATGCGCTGTGGATGGCCATGCGTACGCTCAACGGTTGCCACCTTTACCGTGCATGGCCCCCACTCTGGCACAAGTATAAGGCATGTGTGCGACATCTACGACGCAAGTGCCCCAAATCACTGGACTCGGAACTGGCGGGTTGGAACGTTCGCCTTCCTTCAAGGCCCAAGTCTCGCTCATCCCCGTCCTCGGCGTGACCATGCCAGCACGCGAGCATTGGCTCCGGTGGTTGGGTTCTCTAGGGCTCTAGGGACTGGCGAGGCTGCCTCTCCACAGTTGCGTGACTGGCTTCGTCTTCCGGGCCAGCCGCTTTGTCTGCACTGACCAAACATGCGGGAGCCGGCTTTGGTATGCCTCTGCCTTTCCCTCTGCAGGTTCTGCGGTGGCGGCTTCTGGTGGTGCGTGCCAAGAGGGAGTATTCCCCACTTCGGCAAAAAACGCTGCTTCAGTCCCTGGCGATCCAGTGGACCGAAGGAAGGACAGCACCCAGGCACTGCCCCCGCGCAAAAATGCATCCCTCTCTCTTTCTCTGTCTCTCGTTGCTCGTCGCCGCACTTGCCTTGAGCACCGCAACGGTCAAGAGCCGCTCGCCTGCGATAAACAGCGTTAAAATTATCAAAGCCGCGAAAGACTCTCCATAGATTCCGTAAGTGCCGAGTTCAGGGCCGGCCAGCACGGCCGACCGTGCCTGCACGGCAAGGGAGCTTAGAGAGAGCATGGCACTATTATATTATCTTATATTATATGAAAACTATACTGAAGTCAGCGCGAACAGGTTGCCTTGCGCGAAGGGGCTTGGCTGCAGCCCTGGAAGCCGCGTACGAAGGTTACCTTAAATCCCAAGCTGCCGGGGCAGTGTTTTGTCCTGATGCTGGATCCCAGCGTAGAGATGCTTGGGCTCAGAACTGCCACATTGCAGGTGCCGATGGCTAGGGAAGCAATCAGAAGCTGCGAAGCCTGCAGCACAACCACGACAAGCATTCAAACTCCGAGCTGCTGCTTTGGTCTACAAACATCTGCTATTCGGCAGCCTTCCAGCTGCGCCCGCTCGCGGAATTGCGCGCCCGCATGGCAAGTTTAAGAACAACGCAAAAACATCTGGTCGCCTAGAAAGCTCTATGCCGTGCTCGTGCTCGTTATTGGGCATCCGGCAAACGCTTCCATCATGCATTCTCGTGTCGTATCTGTGTCTTCGGGCATGCTTTCGGTAGAATATAGTATGTAGAGTACAACACAGTGTAATCTAGTCTCAAAGTACAGTTCAGCAGGTGTAATCTTGGTCTGCACCACTCAAGCAAAATAGCTGCTGTGACAATGCAAAAAGGCATGGCCTCGCGGACCGAACACAAGGCACCTCTTCAGTGCTTTGTTTCTCTATCTTGGAGCTATCACCGCCAGGGGACCCCTATGCATGTGCATCTTGTGCAAACAGGCCACGTCCAGCCATTCGCTAATTCAGCGAGCAGGTAATATAGGTAATGGTCTGAAAGATGAAGCTAGGAGTCGATAGTGCAAATCCTCAACCAAAGGAGATGAACAAGAGCGAGACAGCGAGACTGTGAAAGCTAGCAAGTTCCAGCTCTTTTCCATGGAAGTTGCAGCGCATCCTATGATGCGTTTCAATACAGCGTGGTGGTGTCCAGTGATCTACCTGGCTGCTCACTGGTTGCCTTTGCTATCCTTCGCTCTTCTGCGGTGCTGTCGAACTTCAAGAACTCTGACGTGGCAACCACCCGATGCCCACGTCGTTTTCAGCTGCACCCGGCACAGCCCCCGTCAGCGACGTTGCGGCATTTTGAGTTTCGGAAGAAAGAAGGGCCTTCCCTGCCAGGTTGGCAGCCTCTCCCTTGCAGTTGCTCTTGATGCCGCCAAACTGGGAACACGGACCTCGCGACTAAGGCTGCTGAATGTGTGAAGGCAAGAGCGATGGTCGCACCTGAAGCTGGACCTTCTGGAAGAGTTGCTCGAAATTATGGCTAGAAGCCTCGTCAAGAGATGCGATCAGAGCAAGTGCGGAACATGCTGCGAAGCACTGGCCCGTCCTTCCGGTTTCCAGAAGAGCGGCAGTTGGCGGATCTGCCAGGCATGTGCTTCAACATCCAACCATCTTTCAAATCATGTAGCTCGCCCTGTCGAGCCGGAAGCAAGATGGTGTGAATTGCCCAGATTAGTGTAGAAGTGCTTATCCTAGAAGCTGCACCGCGCCGCAGTCGTTCGAGTTTGACTGGTACCCACCTTGCTGGAAAGATGAGCTTTGCAACCGAACACCTCGCATTTTCTTCATGTACATGGCTTTACATCACGGACCAGGCTGTTTCTGTACCGTGAGATGCGCTCTGTGATGACATCCCTGAGTGAGGTTTGCGTGTTGTGTCTGCAGCACATTACCTCAATCATCGGACATTGTGACTGGCTTGGTCAGGATAATTTCCGGTACTGGTGTAGAGTTTGCTCTGAAATGTTCGGCGGGTTCCGCGGCGGTGTGCGACGAGGCGACATGATATTGCAATGAGGCACTCCGACGCAGCACATGGGTATGCAGCTTCGTTTTCTGGGCTCAGACCGGACAAGAAACACCTTGCATAGCCGAGTTCACAGGCCACGGGTCGCTGCGCCTCTCGGTGGGGCCTGTCCTGCTGCATCTCGAGAACCTGGATAGTATGACCGAGCAACTTGATTGCAAAAGCCGATCTGCCTGCTGGGCCGTGTACACGGAGAACACCTTCGTATGGTGAGCACGATGGATCTTGTGAGTAGTAGTCGAACCAGCAAGCCTTCACGGTAGCGGAATGGCCTTTCTGAACAAGTTTTCACTCAGAGCACTAGGCAGCCGGCATTGTCCAATAAACTCTCCTCACGAACAGCACACCCGCATTCATTACGTACAGGTATGCTTGAAAGACATTTGAGGAGCGGCTTCTCATACGGCCTAAACTGGTGTCCTGCATTTGAGCCATCCTCGCTGATGGCATCGCCCGCAGCAAGTGAACGGCCCGCGCCACGTCATCTAGGTACTTCAGAAGGCTTCGGGCTGTGGAAGGCTCACAGTTTTGAGAGCTCCGAGGCCAGGACCCATGGGAAGCTTCATGCTAAAGTCGGGCCATGGAAGAAACCTGCATCCACGTGCTCACGCAAAGGAGCCGCCGAAGAGGCCTTGAGCTCTTGAGAGCAGAGTGCCGGACGCTTGGAAGGGCACCAACATAGCATCCGAGAGAATCACAGGAATGCAACCTTTGGATAACATGGAATAAGGGTGCTTTCCGCAGAATGCAATTTCTTCCGGCCTGCGAAGAAGGCCTCAAAAAGGCGTCCATTGGTGTAGCCGACACCTCCAGGAGCCCACCCCGAAGATCCCTCCACAACATATGACATAAGCAGCAACAAACGCCTTTCGGCACCAGGCAGAACATGCAGTCTCCCACGCGGCCGTAGTAGTCCTCGCGTAGAACTAGTGCCGCTTCCCAAAGCTATGAAGGTCGGCTGCTCTACAAGCCCCAGCAGATCCCAGCAGCATTGCAAAAGCTCTGTCCAGAAGCGGAGTAATGTGAGGCCCGATGCTTGCATCTGACCTCGGCTAGGGACAAAGAGCAACTGGAGAGCACCTGTAGACAACTTCTTGGGATCATCACTACCCTGCGGGACCATCTCTCTGGCAAGCTGCTCGCCGGCGAAGGCTTGAATCTGTCGACGGGTGTCCGCGGCTCGGCTACCGTTGAACGGCTTGCCTGCGAACTCCCGTTCGCCCATGTGAGCAGATGTTGGCAAGTTGGCCAAAAAGCAACGTCTGCTTCTGGCCTTCAGCATGTGTCCTCTCATAGAGATCGTGTCGCATAGCACCATGGAAGCCTCCGATGCAGGGGGGCCGAAGTCAGGCAGGGCGGATCTCCCTAACGAGTGCCGGACGGAAATACATGCGGCCGAGCGGCAAAAGCGGAAGCGGCGTTCGGTGCTGGGCTTACCTTTCTCACGAAGCTTTCGCATGGCCCAGGCATCTGTGTGGCCCGGCACAACCACATCCTTCCAGGCGTCGAAGCACGAAACACCTTACCGACCGCGTGAAAAGAGCGCCCTCAAAAACATGAACTGTGCCAGTTGTTTGACAAGACCACAACACTCGGCTGCAAGCAGGTTGCAGTGCCGGTAGTTCACAACATCGATCAATGGGTTCGCTTCCACTGCGAAGATCTTTGCTCTTGCCACGTACGACTCCCAGGATGGAAAGTCCCAGAACTCGTGGGCAAAGTGGAAAATGTGCTGCCTGTAGCAATGGTAATGGTATGTGACAGGATTGAAACTCCTACGGCAGTGAGATCTTGTTACCTATGTCACCTGTGCCTTCTTCGGTATACATCGAAGTACTCCAGGGAGTTGACGACAGCTATGTTGTGTTTGTCCAGCTCCTCGGTCTCGGTGCCGGGCTTGATGTGCAGGTTCCTGCCAGATGCGTCACCCAGTGCAGCCGGGCCACAGTCATGCACAGCACAGCGACTGCGACCGAGCGGCTGAAAGCAGAAGGAATAGAAGGGCACGTAGAAGAAGTCTGCTTCGGCTGGGTCTCTGGTTCTGCACCGACTTCGGAGCAGAAATCGGTGAAGCATCACCTCGGAACCTTCCATACCCGAGGCACAGCTCAAGAGTGGTCGTGCGTAGTCACCGGTGTCATAGACATAGAATCTTGGACGCTGCTCTGCAGCACAGAGTTGGGCATCCGGCAAAGGTTCCAACCCCAAAAGCTTCGGCGCAAATTCGTGCCAGGTCAGATTCACACGCCATCCGCTCCATCCTGCAGGCGCTCCAACTCAGTCTTAGACTCACCGTTCAGAGAGGGTCAGTCGCGCCTCCGAGAGAGTTCACCAAGCGCTCAGCCTGACGGTAGACCTCTGCAGCAGCCGTTTCGCCTTCGTCCCGGTCGATGAAAGACAAAGAGTGTAGCATCACCGCTGCCATGCCTGGACCAAAGAGCACGCATTCTTCGTAGCCCCAAATCTAAGCGAGATCCTCGAGATGTCACTGTGAATGCCAGCCTGGAGCGCACTTTGCCGAGTTCTCTGCGCGGTTCGCGGGGTCCGAACCCAGCGAATGCCAGAACTGGTACAACAGCTCGCGGCCCTCGCGAGGCAGCGGGCTCACTGCCTGCATGCGGTTTTGAAAAGCAGCGATACCTCTTTCAAGCAAACCCGACGCCCCAAAACATCTAGCCAAGCTGCAGCAATGTCTTGGTCCAGGTATCGAATGTAATCCCATGTCTCTTGGGGTGAGGTGCAGTCCGTGGCACCAACGCCCACTGCGAGCCCCCACAGCACTTTGACAACCTTGCTGAACATCGGACAGTGCTGCCCAGGTGACTCGGAACCAACGGCCTGCTGCATGACTCGACCACGATGCCATGGCGAAATATGGCCAGAATGGACTGAATTTGCACTAAGACGACAGCTGAGGCTGAACATTTTTCTGTGCAGTAAGCACCCTCTAGCGACCTGCTGCGAGATCTTTTCACAAGATGCTACAAATCGGTGCACAGCCTGTCCAACGACAAGCAGATGTTGTGCCACTTTGGCTTTGATCCGTTTCAATGGTAACATGAATGCAACTGCTATCGCTCCGGGTGCAAGTGAAACCCATTTCGGTTCCAGGCGGCCAGGCCATGAAATACTTCGATTACATTATAGATGGGAGAAGCAGCTTCGATGTTGTGGATCATGTTCTTACTGCAATAATAATCTCCTTGCGAAGTCATGCATGCCTTGCTTGTGCTTGTAGCCTTTCCCTTTACACGTTGTAGTGGGACAATTTCGACCCGGGCGAAGGTGTGGCTGTGGTTTTCGGGCTATGTTAGCACACTCGGCGATGCGGAACCAATGTCCCATTTCTCTTGATCCTGGTGCATCCGTCCTACATGTGTTCTATATGCACAGGTCGCCACCTGTTGCGGTTCATTGGCATCGGGTGGCATATGTGAAAGGTGCTGCCCACACACGTGCCTTCAGCGTATCTCGTTGTCTGTTTGAACCTGCTTTTGCAAAACCAACATCTCCGTCCGTGCAGAGCATATGTGTGCTTGGCCACATCAGATTGACGGTGAATTTACGTCAGGAGTCGGCCATGCATTATGCATAGTTGCGCCTGGGAAAGGCTCTTACGGACATCTTAGCCGTTGACCTGGCGCGTCAGCCTCCCAGGGTTCTCACACGCCTGCTGAGAAATCGTGACTTTGTCTTGGCATAGGGTGGCAGCCAAGAGCAATGCTTTTATCCACCGCGCCCGACTGCGAAGGCTACCTAACACTACATGCTTCTGCAATCATCCCGTCGCAACTTTTCCACTATCATGGCACGATCTCGTTGTCAGGGAGTACGACATGAGATATTCTGATAGCAGAAGCTTCCACTCCAAATGAGAAGCACAGCCACACTGGCACTCCAGAGGCTGTGCTTCATAAGTTCAGCCTTCGCACGCTAGAGTTGGTCATGGTAATGTTACAAGCCCCGCTTCGGGAGCTTTGAGTGAAACTGAGTTGTGATACGAAGATTGTTCGTGAGGGATTGGCCCATGTTTAGCCTGCAAGACAAGTGCAGACAAGCATGTGGGTAGTTCTCTAAATTAAAGTCCCTCTTTTAAGTCCCCAGGATAGTACGGCACACTTACAAGAAGGACCCTAGAACCCTAGAGATCCCTTAGAGTACCCTGTATAGAACCCGGATAGATCCCTTTAGGGACCCTAAAAGGTACCCTAGTTTGGGTAGTTCTATAAATTAGGGTCCCTTTTCAGGTCCCCAATATAGTACGGCACCCTTACAAAAAGGATCTCAAAAGGTACCCCAAATTCAGATGTCCATCCCAGGCCGGGCCACGCGCCTGTGGGTGCCAACGACAACGGCCCCGGACCAGGCCCTGACGGCTTTTTTTCATTAAGTGTAATGGTGCCCCTTTGACGGTTTAGGGTTTAGGGTTTAGTTTTGTGTTTTGATTGCCTTTGGCTAGGTTTAGGGTTTAGGGTTTGATCGGAGCCTTCCCTGCCATATAGAATAAGATTGGAACCTGATTAAGAAAATTTTGGTCTTTGTT